ACCTATAACAAATGATTTCTTTCCTGGGCTTAGGGTTCTCTCTATATTTTTCTCTTTCATATGTATCCTTTTCTTGCTGGTTATTTGCTATGACGTAGTTAACTGATAGTTGCTGCACTTGCTTGACTAATGCTTCAATTATTTCATCCTTTTTATCAGAGATTACTGTAGCTTCAGGTGTGTAGACACCGTAGTATTCGCCTGCTTCTATCTTTCTTGCTGCCACAATTGCTTCATTAATGTTTCCTGGAGAAGTGACTGCCACAAAGGTTGCTGTTTTTTCTTTCAATCCACTTAAGAACATTCGTATGATATATTGGGCGAGTAATGATTCTTCTGGGTCCACTCGACTTAGGAGCTTCTTAAACTTGATGGCGTAGGCGTCCATCTTTTCATTTTCGAGTTGGGCGAGGTTATTTAACTGGATCTGCCACTTATTTGTTTTTCTGAGGTGGCAAAGTAAGTAACCAACAAGTGGTAAAAACTGCGGTCTTGATTATCCTCATCTTTCTATTCATTGATATTTGTTTTGTTATCCTTGTACCATTCTGCTACCATCTCTTTTAGGTAACTAGAAGCTATCTTGAGTCTTCTTTCGTCTGACCAGTTGTTTGCTTCTGCAGCACGTTCAAAATCGTCAAACCACTCTATTGGGTCATCATCATCATTCTTGCTGAAACTCCTAACCTTCACATAGTTTGTTTCTTTAGGCCCGGACCCATTTCCTTTAACGATGTCCTTGGTTGCGTCTTTGAACGACTTGGTCAGACGAAAGAAGACTCAAGATAGCTTCTAGTTACCTAAAAGAGATGGTAGCAGAATGGTACAAGGATAACAAAACAAATATCAATGAATAGAAAGATGAGGATAATCAAGACCGCAGTTTTTACCACTTGTTGGTTACTTACTTTGCCACCTCAGAAAAACAAATAAGTGGCAGATCCAGTTAAATAACCTCGCCCAACTCGAAAATGAAAAGATGGACGCCTACGCCATCAAGTTTAAGAAGCTCCTAAGTCGAGTGGACCCAGAAGAATCATTACTCGCCCAATATATCATACGAATGTTCTTAAGTGGATTGAAAGAAAAAACAGCAACCTTTGTGGCAGTCACTTCTCCAGGAAACATTAATGAAGCAATTGTGGCAGCAAGAAAGATAGAAGCAGGCGAATACTACGGTGTCTACACACCTGAAGCTACAGTAATCTCTGATAAAAAGGATGAAATAATTGAAGCATTAGTCAAGCAAGTGCAGCAACTATCAGTTAACTACGTCATAGCAAATAACCAGCAAGAAAAGGATACATATGAAAGAGAAAAATATAGAGAGAACCCTAAGCCCAGGAAAGAAATCATTTGTTATAGGT